TCGAGAGTGCCCGACGTGGACAGCTGTACCGAGCTCCACCGTCGTCGTACCCATAAGGCAGAACACCCAGCTCGCGATGGGCAGTTCACGCCAAGGGCGAATCATCCCTACGGGCTCCACGCCCGACTGAGCAACCTCGCTCCGAAACGCCCGACATTCCATCAAGAATAACGGGACATCTACAAGGGTCAAAAGAAAATCTCTCCCCTCGAGCGAAACACTTAAGCAACCCCGGCCAACCGAAATAGGGCCGAGATTGCACACAAATGGAGACGAGCATATTCGCTCGCCAAATCAAAGCCACCTACGGGCACCTCTCGGGCCCGGGACTTGAGCTAAATTCATACAAGCATGTGAGTGCATACGAGGGCAAAAAATCCAAAATAAATAACAAGGTATAAACGCCCGAAGGCAACAAAGCAATATTAACCCGACCAAGAAGGCCGGCGGTGTTCAAAACATACAATGAACGGGCACGCAGGCCCAAAGAATACAAATTCAAATATCAAGGGCACGCAGGCCCGCTATCCAAAGAATACAAATATCAAACTTCCACATTATCATCATTGTCGACGCTGGGAGAGTCGGGCGGAGGAATGATCGCGCCACCTACAACCCGGTGTGTATGACCGATACCCTCGGTGACCAGGCCAGGGTTTAGCAATGAGAGCTGGTCGACTGCAGAATTGAACCCGTCTTCCAGAGCACCGACTGCGTCCGCCTCGAGGAGCCGGATATGGGCAATAAGCTCAGCCCGACTCTTCAAAATCACTAGGTCCTCGGGCTCATCTTCGGCAGGTTGCTGAACAGCATTCAGTTCCTCAACCTGTTTACCCAGGCGTTCGACTTCAGCAGCCAAGCGATCCCTGTCGGTCCGGAGCAACTCCCCTTCCTCAGTCAACCTCCCCGACTTCTCCTTTTCCAGAGTCAGCATATCCCTCTCGGCATCAAGTATCGCAGTCTGCTCTCGGAACATCTCCTCGGAGCGTTCCAGAGCGACCTTCAACTTCCGCGAGCTCGCACTCAAGGCCGCCTTCTCCTGCTCGAGCTCTGTAACACGAGCAGCATCCCCTGCATCCTCAGACAACACCAAAGCCATTTCGGCCATTTTCACCAGCCCGTCCACGCTGGCGGCCAGATAGGCTTTCCTCTCTTCTTTGCTCATCTTCTTTATGGCCTCGGCTTCATGAGCGACCACTGTCGGAGGGAACCGCTCGAAAAAGCCTGCCTCCTCGAAGCAAGGGGGGAAGGCAAAGGATTGAACAGCACCGGCATCTTCCCCGACAGTCGAACCGCCTTCCACGCGGGTCCTCTTCCTCTGCGTCAAAACGGCGCTGGCGTCAATCTCCTCGACCTCTGGATCTGACGCTGCTCCCGAGCTCGACGTCGAATCCACCCTCACCGTCTGAGGAACGTTCAGACTTGGTGGTGGTCCCATTCTCGTCGTCTGCGGGGCCTGCACGACCCTCTTGCCTCGCCTCTGGCCGGTTGACAATTTCAGGAGCCTTTCATGTCGGCTGGCCATCGTACCTGCACGAAGTAAAGGAAAAGTCAGTATCGAGCAAACCGCGTAAATAAACGACGCATAAAGAATTTCAAGCAAACAACCTAACAGGCGGGCTGCCTGCCTATATGTCGAACATTCCACCAGCGCCTTGGTGTCGATCGGGCGAGCCTCGAATGTCGGGTAACCGTCCTTGTCGAGGATATCATTCCCTTCCCGTGTAACCCACTGGGCGGGATGAAAACTGTCGACGAACCGGCAAAGAGCCTCGTACGCCCGCTGGTCTTCCGTGCACATATCCCCGACTGCGGTATGGAAATAACCTGTTCCATGCTCGTAGTGTCGGGACATCCAGTACACCAGGAACTTAGCCCGACGACCTAACACGGGCCTCCCGTCGTCGGCCAACATTGCTTCCCCGTCATCATCGCTGACCGGCCCTTCCTCCTCGAAGAGGGAATCTACAGCAGAGTCGGTAGTAGGGCGTACCACATACCACTTGTCCTTGAACCCCCTCACAGAGTCCATGTACATCCTAAACAGTCTCCTCGACTGCTTCAGGGACACCCAGCTGTGCTTCCCTCCTCGGGACTGACGCTGCAGGTGGAATACCCGAAAGAAGAGAGGGATGGTCGCCCCTATCCTTAAGTAGCGACACGTCAGCTCAAACGCCCGGATGAAGGCGAGAGAGTTTGGGTGTAGCTGGGACGGGGCCAGCTCCAAATGCGTAAAGACCCCGGTCTCAAAATCTGTGAACGGCAGCCGCAGCCCTAAGTCTTTAAACGCGATCTCGTACATCGCAAAGCTGTAGTCCGGGTACGTTGAACAAATTCTTGCATTGGTCGACGGAAGCATGACCACGAAATTCTGCTGGAAGTCGGGCTGGTCCTGCCCCTCTTCAATAGCGGTGAACGGATGTCGGTCATCCCGACTGTATATCGACGCCGTCCCCCGAGGCTCGGCACCCACCCATTCCAGCGATGGGTCGGTCACGGTATCTATAAGGGTGGCCGACTCGTCGGCACTCTGTTCTTCGCTATCACGACGACCGGAGGAGCTCGGCTCATCCGCCATGGTTACCTGCAGAGCACGGGAAACCAATCAGATTGAGCATGAAGTCCTATGCTCGACATAATCATGTCGTCCATACACTACTACACAAGTCCATTTTCACAAGTGGATGCCTCCCCGACTCTCCTGAACCCAGTGTTCTTCCTCAAACCAACCGCGCGGCCATTCTTCAAGCATGTCGACCCGAGGTATGAACATGGCGAGCCGCACTATGAAGCCCACGGCCACGACCATGAACATACCGGGCACGGTCATGAATTAGGCGCCCGGATCATGAAGACCCCGGGCAGCTCTGAAGTTTTTCACCTAAAACTATGAATGTGTCGGCCATGAGTATGCGTTTGCCGGTCCTAGACATGAATATGTCGGGCAAAACACGAATCTACCGGGCTAATCCCACGCGCACGATCCTAAAACATCTACAAATTCCAGGAATCATGCATTCTAAAACGGAAAAATGAAGAAAGTAGATCACTTACTTGGATCAAAGCTGGGATTTGGCTAAGAAATGAAGAATCTGAGACGGGAAGTCACAACTGGAGAGAGTGTTGAGAGCGGCAACGGAGAGAGCACGGAGAACGGAAAACGTATTATGGGGCCCAAGGACCCTATTTATAGTGATGACGTGGAATACCAAACGTCACCTCGTTCAGCCACGAACTCCATCTCCTCGACGCACTGCTCCCAACGCAATGATGGCCCTACCCCCCTAGGGTGGCGGCACAACTCCCGAAAGATGCCTCGTGTGCTCGACTGACGCGCCCGGTACGGATCCTCCACGCATCCACCACCGAGGACGTCTCCGAGCACGGCACGAGGAGACCCCTCGAGGGTCCACGCCTCCATCCCGGGCACGAGACCTCAGCAACGGAACAACTGTTTCAAGTCATGGCTCCTCGCAAAGGAACCACGACTTGGGGGGCTCCTGTTCTGGACTGGGACCGACAGGCCCAAAAGCATTACTAAGGCCCAGTCCAAAGGAACTCACTAAGGACCACACTGGGCAAAGGGGGTCGCGTCCATGCCCGACACCCTGATGTCCACCTCGACATCTCAATGTCCAGCCCCACGCAGTGAAGTCATGCTCGACACCCTGCCGTCCGACTCTGTGTCCTGACGACCAGCTCGACACTCGCTGTTCAGCTCGAGGTCTTGGCGTCGAGCTCGGCACCGTGCAGCGCAGCTCGACATGATCTCGAGCTACCTGGCTAGGGCAGACTCAGTCCACCGTTACCCCAACGATACTCCGGAAAGACCGCGTCTCTGTCCGCCCGCACTTCACGCAGCACATCCAGGAAGGGGACCACGTGCGGGTCCCCACTACCCACGTAGAACCTGGCAGTTCCTCCATTGGGCCAAATCCGCCCAGCCCAACGAAGGAACCTTGGCCCAGCGCTGGGGGCTATAAATACCCTCTGTTTCCAGAGGGTCAGGTATTCATCATTGTAACCTCAACTCTATTATCTGCTCGTACTCCCACTGACTTTAGCATCGGAGTGCCTTGCAGGTACCCCCCCCCCCCCCCCCCCTCCTCGTTCAAAAAGCCTTCAGCTCGGAGTAAGCCGTGACGGTCCAAACCTTCTGATCAGGTCAGATCAGAATGTAAGCAATGGGATTATAGAGAATTAGATATATCAAAATCATCACTATCTTTTTCCACTTTTTTGTCATAATCAAAAGGATATTAAATTTCAGTTGAGAAAAAAATAATTAACACGATTATCTAATAAAAACAATTATGAATCATACTGAAATCATTGAAAAAGAATAACTTCAGAGAAGGAACAAATAAAGTACAGAAAAATAAAAATAGTCTGATCAGAAAATAAAACAAAACATTAAAACAAGCGGCCTATAGTGCCTAAAGATTAGAGGCGGAAGAGTTCTTCTGAGCCATCGGTTATGCCAGAATATTGTTAACTACCTCTTGTTTATCTATTCTTTCTCTGATAAATAGTTATTCTTTTTACAAACTTTCAAGTATTTTTAACACATGAGAAAATAAGTTAGAAATATTTCCTTGATTTTTTACTGCATCCACAAATACTTATGACATTGTAGTTCTTTCCTTTTGTATTTTAATTTCTTTGGTTCAGTTAGTTTATCTTTTAGCACATCTTGTGCCACTTGCCTAATCATCTGGATTTTTTTTCTTTTCATTATTATCATTTTGGCTTTTAAAAAATATCATTAAAAGTAAAACTAAATCAATTTAAGGTTATAGAGCTTCATGTTACTTGACCACAGGAATATATGATAGAAAGATGTCTTTTTCTTTAAATCCAAATATGAAATAATCACAAAAATATCCTTAGATTTCACATAAAGAAATCTCATCTCACATTACAAAACATTATTTTGAAATGAAATCCTAACAACAAAAACTCAATGACAGATAATAGTAATTCATAAACTATAACATGATTTATTTTGCAGCATTAAAAAGGCTCTCATAGCGACCTTTGAATATGGCAAAAAGAGGTTCTCTAGGAGGCAGACTTTTCTTCACAACAGGATGGTTAAGAAATTCTTGGCTCCATTGGTAAAGCTTTGGAAACTTTTCAGCGGTAAACAGTTGCAACCCTGTTACATCTTGAATCAAAGGGATCCAAAAAGCTATGAACACAGCAGCAATGTCCACAATATCAATCTCTTCTCCTCCAAAGAACTTGTCCTTCAACTCATTCTCAAGAGTCAGAAGAGCCTCAGATGACTCTGCAATATTCTTCTCACGCTCTTTCTCATCAATTGTGAATGCAGATTTGAATGAAGGGCCCATAACCTAAACAATTCATAAATATGAATGAACTATTTCACACCAGCATAGAGAGTACAAAAACTTTAAAATATCAAAGAGGAAGTTACCTTGTCATCTATGAACTTTGCCCAGAAACGAGCCAAGGTTCTTTGGTAAGGATCAGAAGGCAAGATTGGATTTTGTTTCCAAGTTTCATCAATGTATTCAAGAATCACAAGAGATTCTGATATGGGCTTTTCATTGTGAACAAAAACTGGAACCTTCTTATAAACTGGATTATATTTGAGAAGAAGCTCACTCTTGTTAGCCAATTTTTCTACAACAAATTCATATTCAATTCTCTTCAGATTTAGAGCAAGTTCTACTCTGCATACAAATGGGCTTCCACGAGCTCCCAAGAGTTTCACATCTTCCTGATTTGTAGCCATTGCAGCACTTCAATTTTCTCTATATATGAAGTGAGTTTGTTTTGGTGTTTATTTATGGTAAGGTTTTGTTGTGTTTTATAGAGTTTGGAAGAGTAGTTTGGTCATTTTTGAATCTCTACGCGTTGTCATATGTTGACTATGTGTCAAAAAGGAAAAGAAAAAGTGGTATTATTGACTTTCCTATCAGGACAGTTGACAAGAAGTGATGTCACGTGTTACACCACCAATTTATTTTATACTGAAATAATTGAATAGAGTATGATCAACATGGCATCTCAAGATTGAATTGAAATAGACTAGGGTGTTTAAAGGTTTAATCAAGATTAAACCGATGTCAAACGGGTAATATATGTACATTTTAATTTTAATTTTTAATAAAATATATGATGAGATAGTAAATACTAAATAGAAACAATTTAATAATTATAATTTACACTATTATAAAAATTAGTAAATTTTTAATATTTGACTAGAGAAAAATATTGTAACTTGATTAAACTATAATAAAAATATAATTTAAAAAAGTAGTTGAGACAAGTGGAAAAAAAACTAGAGATCTTTTGTATGTTATTTATTTATATAAATTTCTTATAATTTTCTAATGGGAGTCAATATTATTATTATTATTATTATTATTATTATTATTATTATTATTATTATTATTATTATTATTATTATTGAAGCGTGGACAAATCTTTTATACCCGTACAGAGCAAAAGGTATCATCTCGTACTAGTTCTTGTATGTTTTCATTATTTTTTGAATGATTTTTTTGAAGTTCTTGTTAACTGCTTCAACGGTCTCATTCATCTTAGATTGTATGGTGAAAAATTGTGATGCTTAATCTTGAAGCTTTCACATGATTTCTTCATCATTTTGTTATTTAGGTTGTTGGCATTATCTGTAATAATTTTTGGGAACCCCATAACGACAAATTATCTCTTTCTTAATGAACCAAGTAACCACTTATCTGGTGATATTGGCATAGGAAGTTGCTTCCACCCACTTGGAGAAGTAGGCTATGGCAACTAAAATGAAACGATGTGTGTTTGTAGCTTTTGGATCGATCATTTCAATCATGTTTATTCCCCACATAGAGAAAGGCCATGATGATGTTAGGACATTCAAAGGAGTTGGTGGCACATGTATTTTGTCAGCATAAATTTGACTTGTATGGTATTTTTTGACATAATTGAAACAATCGGACTCCAGGTTGACAAATAATAGCCATCTCATAGGATTTTCTTGGCCAGACAAGTCTGTTGGCGTGGATCCCCCCGGAGCCTTCATGGATTGCTTTTATGATCTAGCCTACTTCGTGTCTATCCACGCATCTGAGCAGGATCATGTCAAAGTTTCTTTTGTAGAGCACACCGCCACCTAGAAGGAAATTGGTTGACAACTTTCTCAAAGTCTTTTTGTCTATGGTTGAGCCATTTTCTGGGTTTTCTTGCTTTTCATGGTACTGCTTGATGTCATAAAACCATGGCTTGTCATCTGTTTCTGCTTCAAATGTTAAGCAGTGTGTCGATTCATCCAGGTGCTAGATTATTATTCCGGGTGCTTCATTAGCCCACCTGACCTGGAACACGGATGACAAGGTAGCCAAGGCATCGGCTAGTTGATTTTCCTCCATCGAAATATGATGTAAAGTAATCTCACCAAAGTGAGTAATTAAATCCATGACATGTTCACGATATGGAATCAACTTAGTGATGGGTTTCCCATTCCCCCTTGATATGATTGATGAAGAGAGTTGAGTCTCGATAGACTTTGAGGATTTTGATTCTTAGGTCATTGGCCTCTTCTAATCTAGAGATACATGCTTCGTATTCAGCCATGTTGTTGGTGCATTCAAAGCATAATCTTGCAGAGAATGAGAGATGAAATCCTTTTAAAGATGTGATGATAACCCCAATTCCATGCCCTAATGCATTTGAGGCACCATCGAACATGATCGTCCATCGCGATCCTGGTTCGGGTCCTTCATTCAGGCCTGGAATTTCATAGTCTCAGATTACCATGATGTCTTCATTTGGAAAGTCAAACCTCATTTGTTTATAGTCATCCATAGGTTGGCATGCAAGATGTTCTGATAAGATATTCCCTTTGATGGACTTTTGAGTGACATGTATTGTCTTAGACGATGGGCAGCCCATGCTAGAGTGTAATAAGTTTCCTCTAATAGTGGGTATCGGGTATCACAATTAGTGAACTTCTTGCTCAAGTAATAGATAACATGTTCTTTTTTGCCCGTTTCATCATGTTGGCCTAGTACGCACCCCATAGATTCATCAAGCACTGATAACTACATTACGAGTGGCCTTCCAAGAACCAATGGTGTGAGGATCAATGGTTCTTGCAAATATTGTTTTATTTTATCAAATGCCGCTTGACAATCATCGTTCCACTTGATCACTTGATTTTTCTTAACATCTTGAATATTGGTTCGAAAGTTTTCGTTAGGTGTAAGTTGAATATAGAGATGTAATTCAACCTTTCTAGGAAACCACAAACTTATTTTTTTGTTCTAGGTGTTGGCATCTCTTAGATAGCCCTGAATTTGTCGGGATCAAACTCGATGCCTTGTTGACTAACAACGAATCCATGTAATTTACCAGATCCGACCTCAAAGGTACACTTTGTCGGGTTCAGTCGTAGCCTGTACTTCTTCAAGCATCCAAAAACATTCTCATATGAGTAACGTTCTCTTCTTCTGTTTGGGCTTTATCAATCATATCGTCCACATAGACTTCGATCTCTTTATGAATCATATCATGAAAGAGAGTCATCACGACTCTTTGATATGTTTCCCATGTGTTTTTTAAACCAAAAGGCATTACCTTGTAACAGAATATGCCCTAAGGAGTGATGAAAGTGATTTTTCCATGTCTTCGGGAGACATCTTTGTATGATTGTATCCAGAGAAACCATCCATAAATGAGAAGATAGGGAATTGTGTAGTATTGTTAACTAACACATCAATGTGAGGAAAAGGGAAATCATCCTTTGGGCTTGCCATTTTCAAATATATGTAGTCTACGCACATTCGTACATTGTCGTCCTTTTTAGGGCTTAGTACTATGTTTGCGATCCACTATGGATAATTGGACACAGTTAAGAAGCATGCATCTAGCTGCTTTATGACTGCTTCCTTTATCTTGACGGCCATATCAGGTCTAGTTTTTATGAGCTTTTGCTTCATAGGGGGGCTTTCTAACATAAGTGGTAACTTGTGCTAAAAAATGTTGGTGTCTAATCCTAGAATATCTTAGTATGACCAAGCGAAAACATCCACGTATTCTTGAAACAGCTTAACCAATATCTCTGTATACTCTCATCTAGAGATTCCCCAAGTTTGACTTCTTTCTTGTCTTCCTCTGTCCCAAGATTAATGACTTCGATTGGCTCTTGATGAGACTGGATCTCTTTCTTTTCTTGCTCAAGTAGCCTGGCTAGTTCATCTGGAAGTTTACAATCGTCCTCACCGTCTTCTTTGGTGTGGTTAATTGGGAACTTGAAGTCATAAAGGATTATACTCATGTTATGTTCAATGGATGCATTTATTCTGCATGATTATTATGTTTTTGTTTTAGCATTAATGGCATGGAAAAAATGAAAGAAAAAAAAGCTTTTGCCAGTTTGAAAAAATAAAAATGAAATAAGAAAGAACACCATTTGAATGCAAAATGTGTTTTATTTAATTGACAAATAATGTCATCAAACAAAGAGTGGCCGTACAAATCTATGCTTTTTCCATGGACAGAGCAATGAATTTTATTTTTTAGAAAACAATGCATTACTCTGAGCTGGTAAAGACTCTGGGAATCATGGTCGTTGTCCAGTTGTTGAGCATGGTGCTAGGGGAGCGTTGACGTACTAGAATGGGCATCTTTTCATTGGCATCCCCGACCATAACTATATGGTCATCCAATCTAAATCCAGCACTACAGAAGATTCTTGGGATATTGTACGACTTCCTCTGGTTCTCTTGCAAAGATGGTTGGTAGTCGATCCCAAATCGGTCTCTCTTTTCTGTCACTCTTAGAATTTGTCCCCATCCCGTAAGAGTTCCTTTTCCAAGGTTTCCTTTTCATTTTTCTATGAAGACATGGAGACCTTTGGTGTCTTGGCATCACTAGATTTTGAGCTTGAAGTAGTCACATTGTCTACTTCTAAGTATTGGAGTGGGATTTCCACAGTTCCTTTGTCATTTTCTATTTAATGTAAGGAGGAAATAAGGCTTACTAGCAACTCTTCCTCTCCACAAATAATGTCCAGTTTATCATCGAGCGGAAATTTGAGCTTTTGATGTACCATGGAAGAAACTGTCTTAGCAACATGAACCCATGGTCTTCCAAGGAAGCAAATATATGCTGAATCGATGTCCATTACTTGGAACGTAATGGTGAAGACATGAGGGCCTACTAATACAGGTAGATCGACTTCTCTAATCACCATTTCCCTTGAACCGTCAAAGCCTTTTACTACCCAGTCGAAGCAGGAGTCAATGTAGAGACTATGTTTGTCGAAACAAACTTTCCAAGGGAGATACTACCCAGTCGAAGCAGGAGTCAAGCATGCTTAAAAGAAATCAAATGCACCAATTGAAATAGGAATCAAGCTTGTATGCAGAAGGTCCCTTGCTTTGTGGGCGTTAGCATGAAGGGAAATTTCTGCCTTGTGAATTTGGAACACATGCAAGACCATTGGCTTTTAAGTCGAAGGAAAGATGCAGGAAGCCATTGCCTTGTGCCTGCTGGCATGAAGGAAGTTCATGCCTGGTGAATTGGAGGCAAGCGTAGAGAAGGCACTTGTCTTCTGAATCGAAGGAGGCCAGTAGGAAGCCACCAATTTCTGAATTGAAGGACACCAACAAGAGGCCCTTCCCCTTTGAATCGAAGGAGGCTACAAGAGGCTTTTTCCATACGCTAGCATGGCGGGAGCCCTTTGCTTTATGGATCGAAGCATGCAGGATGAAGGTAATTGCTCAATCGAAG